GTACTCAGGAAGTATTAATAAATGTTGTTTTTAGTTGTACATTCAAGTGAATGGCACTGGAGGTACCTTTAATAAAATAGACCACCCCAGAAGTCTTATGATATTATAACATGCGCATATACAAGGTCCTCTACAGAAACTATTCTGTTGATTCAAAAGGCCACAGTTATGGGCAACTGGTGATGGGCAGCTTCATGAGGACAACGTGACTGCTCATGCATCATGTCTTGTGCAGAGATTTTTGGCAAAACATCAAATCACCCAGGTGACTCAGCCCCACTACAGCCCACATTTGGTGCCCTGCAATTCCTGGCCTTCCCCAAAACTAAAAGCACCTACGAAAGGGAAGAGAGGAATGTTCAAGCTGAATACAAAATTTGATGCAGATTCATGGCTATACTTGTTCAGTCATTTTGAATGTGATGACCACACAGTGCACATGCTCACTCAATGGCATCTACCAGAATGACTGACTAGTACAGTGAAGTTGTCATTGTTCTTGCATGAGCATTCCAGTCCACTTTCCTTGACTGCCAGGTTCCATCGATGTCACACAAACCATTCTCATTATATTAACAATGGCTGGACTTTTTCCAGACAGACCTCATATATGTATGCCCACATGTGTGTGTGCACACACAAACACACCATGGTTATCAATTTTTAGGCTAAAATTAAAATTGGTATCATTACATTAAGCAGAAGCTATTTGGGCATTAAGACCGGGCAGCCTTAACTTGAGCTAGAAATTGAAAGTCAACTAAGAACTCTCCACAAAAAGATGAGCAAGCCCATGAGTCATTTTTGTGCAGAGAACTGAGCCTTGATTATATCAAGGAAACAAACGGTGAAAGCACAACCTGTTGGGACAAGAGGATGCATCACTCGCACCAGTCCAGGTGAAATCCCACATAACAGGACTCCTGTGTCTGAGATGGCTGGGTGGCTTACTAAGTCAAGAAAACTTTTTAAAAATAAAACTTTCACGTCATTTTTAGAGGCAGTGAACATGCCTCATTTAGGGAAGCAAGTCTGTGCAGCAGACGAGAAATCAGATATGCATCCCTTTCCCGTTTTTCTAAACAAGGTCCATAGTCTACTCTCAGTTTCTGTATCTGTGACATGGGGATAACCATACTTTATAAGATGGTTAAATCAATTAAAGGGGATTATATATCATATTAAAGCACATATTCTCCCCCAAGCTACTACTAGGGTGACAGAGCAGTCATCAGTTTAAGAGGTGAAAGATACATGAGGCATATGTTTGCTGTTTGGTGATGCGGGGAGGGCTGAAATGTGCAGAAACTAGGATGCAGGGATGATGATGACGTCATGGAAATGTTATATTAGAGATGCTCCAAGTAGAAATGCACAGTGGGCAACTGGGTATAGAACTCTGGAGTTCAGGGAGAGGTCAAGGCTGGAAATAGATATTTAGGAATCATCTACAAATAGATGGGATGTGGTCATGGTTACCTATTCAGTGTCATGATTCCATACAGACCAAAAATACATTGCAAACAGTGTCTGAAGACTAGAGGCCTGGCATCAGATACGTTACCAAAAGTTGCAAATGTAAGTTTCATTTTCCCGAAGCAAGTAGAAAGAATACCAGGAACAGGTATTTAAAAATATGACTAGCATTCATGATTGCTCTTACTTGCCTAATTGAGGAAGCAGTTTTACAGTGAGTCAGATTATTTTATAAGTTGATTTGCAAAGTCAATTATAGATTTATGGTACTATATTTTGGGGATATTGCATACTATCTCAATGAAAATTAGTAAGCTGCACGGTGGGCCTACAACACCTTCTTACACTAATTAAGACAAGATTGGGAGGATAAAATTGCCTCTAATTTATGGACAAACAATATTATGCAGCAGAATCCCGTAGGATTCTGGGTAAAGGGAGCTATTGGCATGGTTCCGTGGAGAGGTGGTGAGGACTTGAGATGGCAGAGGCGGCCACGGTGAGAAGTAGATAAGTTGGGTATATTTGGAAAATAGAGCCAGTTCCAACCATTGAATTTCTGCTAATTCTCACAAATGCTTCAGTCTTTAAAAAAATAAAGACTAGCTTGGCTTCCTCTTTTGGTAAAATATTTTAGTTTGGCCAGTTATTCAAGCTGCCTGGCTGGATCTCATGACCACCTCTTCCCTCTAAGGCAGTGTTTCTCTTTATTGACTCCACCAACCAAGGAAACTTTTTAGATATTTTTCCCTAATCTCCACCCCATGAAAATGCCTTATTGTGGTGAAATATACAGGGTGGGGAAAAATTAGGTTTACAGTTGCTCATATTAAAAATAATACAATAATTCATGAATAATAATACAAAAGCTCTGTTTCACCTACTCACAACTGTAAAACTACATTTACCACACCCGGTACATAATATTCATCATTTTAACCATTTGTGAGTGTACAATTCAGAGTCATAAAATACATTCACACTGTTATGTAACCATCCCCACTACCTATACCCAAAATATTTCCATTATCTTCAACGTAAGCTCTGAACCCCCTGTACAATACATCCCCATTCCCCTCTTCCCCTTATCCCCTAGTAACTTCTATTACACTTTCTGTCTCTATGAATTGCCTCTTCTAGTATCTTATTTAAGTGGAATCATATGATATTTGTCCTTCTGTGTCTGGCTTTTTTCACTTAGTATGTTCTCAGCATCTATCAATGTTGTAGCATATATCAAAATCTCATTCCTCTTTACTGCTGAATAATATTTCGTTGCATGTATATACATTTTCTTCATCCATTCACCCATTGATGGATACTTGGGCTGTTTCCATTTTCTGGCTATTTTGAATAATGCTGCTGTGGACATGGCTATACCAATACCTCTGTCCCTGCTTCAGTTCCTTTGGCTCTAAACCTGGGAGTGGAATTGTTGGGCCCATGAACTTTTAATACTACAGATAAACTGTATATTTAGGTTTTGTGTATATATGTATCTGTGCTTTATAGATAAAAAGAGTAAGATTTCTTCACCACCCTCCCAGAATCAGTTTTTACCTCCTTCAGGTGAAAGTGCTGTCCCCCTTACTGAGACTACAAGCTCTGAGGAAAGATCCCAGGTTGGTTTCTGGACTCAGATGAAGTATACACACAGACACACACACACACACACACACACACACACACACACACACACACACACACGGTCTGTCGAGAAAAAATTCAGCCATTGTTAATGTAACAAGGATGGTTTGTGCAACATCAGTGTAACCTGGCAGCCGCGGAGGGTAGACTGTAACCCACCTGCATGAACAATAACAGCTTCACAGTACTAGTCATTGGAAGGCGGTAAACACCATTGAGTGCGCATGTGCACTATGTGGCCATGGCATTCAAAATGACTGAGCGAGTGGAGCGATGAACCTGCATCACCTTCTTCATTAAGCTTGAACATTCCTTCACAGAAACGATTCAGGTGATTCAGAAGGCCGCAGCTATGGGCAGCTGGTGATTGGCAGCTTCATCATGACAATGTGCCCGCTCATGCATCACATCTCATGCAGGGTTTTTTGGCAAAACGTAAAATCACCTAGATGATTCAGCCCCCCTACAGCCCAGATTGGGTGCCCTGTGACTTCTGGCTTTTCCCAAAACCAAAATCACCTTTTAAAGGGAAGAGATTTCAGGCCATCAATGGGATTCAGGAAAATACAGTGGGGCAACTGATGGTGATTAGGAGAACTGTGTGAGGTCCCAAGGTGCCTGCTTTGAAGGAGACTGAGGTGTCATGTCCTATGTACAATGTTTCTTGTACTTTGTATCTTCTTCAATAAATGTCTCTATTTTTCATATTACATGTCTGGATACCTTCTGGACAGAATTCGTATATTATATATGTAGATAAACTGCTTAAAGAGGAGTGAAACCATAATAAGGAAAATGACCCCAAAATACAGAGGTGGAAAAAGTAATCTTTATTGCCATCCATAAATTCTTTATATTTTATTTAGTGTTCAAAATTGACAACAGGTGATATTTTGGAAAATAACTCTTAGCTGTGTGTCAGAACCAAACCAATAATGCAATTATTCTAACTAAACTTTTGAAAACAGTAGATATTAATGATGTTGTATTGCCACTGAGTCTAAAAAAAAATCTCCAGGACATACATAGAATAATTACAACTATGTACTAGCAAAATAGAAGAGGAAGGAAAGGAAGAAAGGGATGAAAGGGAAGGAAAGGGAGGGAGGGAGGAGGGGGAAGGGAGGAAAGGAAAAGGAAGAAAGACATCTGGGATCCAAGGATCAGCTTGTGGGAAGTCAGGTATCCCGAGATTAAAGGATGGGTCTGTCAGCATGTGAATGTATCTAGTTGGGAGGCAGGGTGGCTAGATTCCGCTGCATGTTCACCTAGGTTTACTGTAGTGTGGTTGCCCAATGCTACAACATTTCATTATGTAGAGAAGAGATTAAGAAGATTGTATAACAGTATTTAAACAAAAAAATTTCAAATCCCTGACCAAACCCCTTCAAGAGTTAGAAAAGACAAGGAGAAACTGAGGAACTGCCAGATTAGAGGAGATGAAGAAGTCATGACCACTAAGTACAACATGGGACCCTTGACCAGATAAAGGACATTAATGGGAAACTGGAAATTCCAGATAAAACCTGCAGTTCAGCTAGTAGTAACGTACTATTGTTAATTGCTCCATTTTAGTAATTGTACTTCAGTTATACAAGATATTAACATGCAGGGGAGTTGAGCAAAGGGCATACTAGAATTCTCTATACCATGTTTACAACTTTTCTGTGAGTCTAAAATTATTTCAGAGTGAAAACAAATGAACAAACAACAACAAAGTTTCTGGTAGCTCCTAAGTGTCAGAAACAAAGCTGTGGCTGACATTGAAGAAGAAAGAATAGTTGGAATGGGGGGGGTCTATATTTGTAATATCAGCAGCTTCGACACCTGACGTGAGAGTAACTCCTGTCTTTGTCTCCATTGCAATTCCGTTACAGGGTGTGTTGGATACATCACGTAACCGGGATGTGGGTGTACCCGTTCCTGGAACACATTAGCCCAGGAGCCAGAATCACCTTCTTTGCATTTACAACCATCTTGATGAACCTTTTGTACCTTCTGGGAGAAGTTCTGAACAGCTATATCTGGGATACACAGAAAAGTAAGTATTGTTTAGGGGAGCATAAAACAAGAGAATTCCTGTCATAAGAAGTGTGTGCAGAGACCAAAGGAAAATTCCACTGTGGCACAGAATCACTTAGGAAGACCTACCTTTTTATAAAAACAGCGTTAATTTAAGAGCTCCTGGCAGGTACCTGAAAGGTTTATTACTCACTTTGTCTTATTAGCCAGTAAATTATCTAAATCTAAGAGAAAAGAAGTGTGTCTATAAAATTTGATAGGGAGTTCACTCTGATTAATAAAAGACTGCCTTAGCTAAAGAATCCCCAATTAAATAGATAAATTATTAAGTATAACCAACCTCTCCATGGCTGGTATGGCTCAGTGGACTGAACACCAGCCAGCGAATCGAAAGGTCACCAGTTCAATTTCCTGTCAGGACACATGCCTGGGTTGTGGGCCAGGTGTCCAGTTGGGGCTGTGCAAGAGGCAACCGATCGATATTTCTCTCCTCTCTTTCTCCCTCCCTTCCCCTCTCTAAAAATAAACAAATAAAATCTTTAAATGTAACCAGTCTATAGAAGTCACCCAGATCTCCACTTTTTACATCATCCTTTCCTTGGGTGCAGTAGCCTCAGAGACATCTCACCACCTCTGCTAGACCTTTAAGCAGCATAGAAGGCTCAGGCCACTGTGGTTCACCAGTGACTGTCATGTCCAAAGGCTGAAGTGGCAGAAAAGTCCGGGCAGTAAAGGGTAATACTTCATTGTTGCATAAAGTCTTTTAACCTCCGATTTGATTTCTCTTTTGTTTCTATTTATGGCAGAGCCTCTATCCCGGCAAGGCATGTAATTTTACCCAAGCTGTGCAAAATCTGTCCAAAGTGTATGCAAGATAACATAAAATTGGGAAGGTGGCAAAAGCAACAGCAAAGATGTGTAGAGATTTGAGTCCTGCATGAAAATACATCCAAAGGCAAGATGACTTGGGGACTTTAGAGACCACTCTAGACATCACCAAAAAATTATCTGTGTTCCACAAACGTTGAGTTCCCTACTTTGTGCCAGACACTATGCGAGGAACGTAATCTAATTAGACAAATAAAACAATCATTGCATGGTTACTGAATCAGATTTCTTTTGTGCATGGATCTTCTAAGATGGTATGCTTCAAAGCATGTTAAATGGCCCAGAGGAATCTGAGCATTTCTTTTCCCAGCAGCTGTCTTGATTTGAATAAGTGGTCTATTTGAAAAAGTGTCAAAATTTTTTATTCAGTTCAGGCCATAACTTGAGGGACCAGAAATTATATTTTAATAATTTTCCTTTCTGTTCAATGGGAATAGTAATCTTTCTCTATTAATTAACCTATTAAAATATTTAGTTAACTTTCAAAATATATTAAAAATACATTGTGCTCCGGTGGAGTAGCTCAGTTGGTTAAAGCATTGCGGGTTCAATCCCCAGTCAGGGCACATACCTAAGTTATGAGTTCGAGCCCTGGTTGGGGCATGGGCGCAGAAGGGAGGCTGCTGGTCAATGTTTCTGTCTCATATCAATGTCTGCCTGTCTGTCTGTCTCTCTCTTCCTTTCTTTCTAAATATCAATAAACATATCCTCAGGAGAGGATAAAAAAATTTTTAATAACAAATTAAATGTAAACTTTCTCTGCTTTTTGGAGAAAGGCCATATTTCACTTAAGCTATATTTGTCCCATATATGTTATTCAGGAAGTATTTATGACTGCCGGCTTCCCCTCAATTGGCTTGATTCCAACACTCATTGGCCATTGTCCTATTATTTCTAAGAGAAGGTGGCCTGAAAACCAGGAGAGAAAAAAATCCAATCTACATTAATAGAAGATTACACGTTAGCAGCTTTGAGTAAGAAGTTAAAAATGAATGGTGAAACTAAGGGTTTTGTTTTGTTTTTTTTCAAAACCATGGTCTGAGCAGGGTTGGTTCCTTCTAAGGACGGCAAGGGAGACTCTTCCCCAGGCCTCTCTCCTTGGCTTGTAGATGGCTATCTTCATGTTCACATGGCACTCTCACTTATATATGAGGCTGCCTCCAAATTTCTTTTTTTAATTTTTTTTATTCTCACCCAAGGACAATTTCATTGCTTTTAGATAGGGAGGAAAAGAGAAAGAGAGAGAGAGAGAGACAGAGAGAGAGAGAGAGAAACATCAGTGTGAGAGAAATATCAATTGGTCGCCTTCTCATATGTGCCCTGACAGGGGACCAAACCCACAACCTGTGTATGTGCCCTGACTGGGAATTGAACCCATGATCTTTTGACCTGTGGAATGATGCTACAGCCAACTGAGCCATACCAGCCGCAGGGCCAAATTTGTTTTTGTTATAAAGATATCAGTTATATCTGATTTGGGTTCACCCCGATGATTTCATTTTAACTTGGTAAAGACCCTACCTCCAAATACAGTCACATTCTTCAAGTACTGGGAGTTAGGTTTAGGGAGACAGAATTTAGCTCATAACACTCTACCTTATGCCCCCAAAATCCATACCCTTCATTCTCGCAAAATATACTCCCTTAAATAACTCTTAAAGTTTTTCCACCCTCTTCAGTCCAAAATCTTACCTTAAATATTATCTAAATCACCTATGAGTAAAACTGGGAGTCTTGTTCATCTCAAAGCAACATCGCACACCAGTTGTGAACCTGTGAACCCAGACAGAAAGTAATCTGCTTCCAAAATACAATGGTTGGACGGGCATAGAATATATACTCCCTTTCCAAAAGAAAAAAATCACAGGGTAAAAAGGGGTCATGGTTCCTCACCAACTCTAAAAGCTAGCAAGGAAAATTCCATTCAATTTCAAAGCTTGAGAATGATCCTCTTTGGCTGAATGTCCTGTCCTCAGGACTCCTGAGGAGGGGGGCTGTGGCCCTGCATCCTTGGCCCTGGGCAGCAGCCCTACCCTCTGAAACCAAAGAGGATCCAGCCCCTGAAATGCCTTTGAAGTCATTCCTTCATTTCACCCCGCCCCTTCCAGTCTATGCTGTCAGGATTTCTGCTGGTACAAAATTCTCAAAAAACCCTTTTGGCTTTCCATGTAATTTATGGGGGTCCAAATCATCAGATAGAGGGTCCCCCACAGGTCTTCCCTGGCTTCTGCTGAGAGGATTAATTGGATTCACAGGCCACATGCCTAATCACTTTAGCAAACAGTTGTGCATCCACATCCTTGGCCTTCTCTCACATTCTAAGGTCCTGGGGATTAGGACCTCAATAGGTGACTTTGGTAGGGGACATAATTCAACCTACAACAGCCGAAATACTTCCATACTTCAACTAAAAATTTATTCCAATTCCAATGTGCCGTCTTATTAAAGTCAAACTTCATATGACTAGAAATGGAAAGGTCTGAGGGTAGAAGGTGCGGCGAGGACAGAGAAAGCAGACAAAATGACAAAGGAGGTCAGCAGCAGGCCAACGTGACACCAACTTGCACCTCCCTTCTCTGCCAGCTGCCCACCCAGCAGTGATGTCCCAGCCCTGCCCTCCGGTTGCGCCCCTCCCCCAGCCTGGAGGGAACCACAGGCGCCTGAGTCTCTCGGTATCAATCAGCTCTTCCTCTCTCCTCCCGAAAGCACCTCCTGCCTCAGCTTTGGGACAGGTTTCTTTCAGCTATTTGTGTGGAAATTATACCTCTGGTTCTTCCAAATATTATTTACAGCTGTCTAATTTTTTCCCTCTACCTCCAAGCTGCCAAACGAAAGTAGGTGGGGAGCCACTTTCCCTGTCTGGGTCAGTGAACACCCCCTGTTCTCCACCCCTGCTTTTGAAGATTCCACTCTTGCTGCCAAGTCAACCCATCTGCAGGAAAACACTTAGGAGGAAACAGGCTTGAAAAAGAAAAGCAAGCGGTTATCTCCCAATAGCTTCTCCACAGGGATGAACGAACATGGGATGAAGTGGAGGCTCAAGTCATGTGGGCTGTTTGAACCGAATCTGTGTTGTGTTTTTCTGCCTTTGCCTTGGTTACCCAACAACTGAGGCATCCCCTGCCTTCCCCTCTGCCCTCCCCCTCCTCCCTTTAGATGTCATGACTCCTCGATTTGAAGTTTGCCTTAATATGATTCTGAGAATTACTTTGGAAAAAGTGTTACCGATCTCTGCCAGTTCCTTAGTCATGAAAACCAAACCTAAAAGAATGTCTAAGGACACCTGTTCAGAGCATGTTATCCACATTCCACTGCCACCGCCCTGACCCCAGAAAACACATACTAGGAGCCGGGATGTGGGGGGCGGGGGGCCTCTCCTAACGGAATCCCTATCATGGTGACCCTCTGGGGTTAGGCTTCATGATTTTTTTATATTGCGAAGTTCCTTATTTTGTTCCATTTTCCTACTAGTCCAGCCTGCTGAGGCCTCCTCTTTGTTTACTGTTTACTAATTGATTCAGTAAAAATTAATTGAGCTCCTATTGTGAGACAGACACTATGCTACGTGCTAGGGATATAATCCAGGATAAGACAGGTAAGGACTCTGCCCTCAGAGAGCTTGCAACTTACAAAAGAATACCAACAAAACCTTCTAAGCAGCACTCAGTTTTTCTTTTGTTCCAGCAAAAAATCTTTAAGAATTTAGTATCAGAGGAAAAAAAAATCTTTAGCTAGAAAAGAAAGAAATAGGGAGCCATCTGCCAGATTTCACTTTAATTCATGAGAATGACTTGAACATTTTCATCTCCAGGAAAATGAAACATCATTAACTATTCACTCCAGACAACAGACAGAGGTCTTACTGGTCCAATCCCTATGAGTCTCTCAGGAAGAAAAACATAGTTCTCCCAAGCTTAGGTTGAACATAGGGAAAATTTAAGTTTAAGCACAAATGGGTATGGATATAAACAGTTCTTGTGGCTAATGAGCTGTCTATGAGCTTTAAAATGTGTATCTTTCTTGACTTTTAAAAATCCAGAGTCTTTGTCTTAGAAAGAGACAGGACTGAAAAATAAATAGATAAATACAGTCAGTTAGAAACTCATCAGCCACACACCTCCTGTCGCTAGCAGCTGGTCACACGGCAGCCCAGTCGGGGTTTCTGTGCAAACTCAGTGAGTCCAGGACTCACTTGAGTCCCTCGCTCCCAGAAGCCACAAGAACTGGGTGTGCCCCAGAGATGTTCTGTCCTGATTTGGTGGAAAAGGGTGGGGAGGGAGGTCACTGAGCAAGTTTCTGGAGAAAGCCGCAAAGGACTTTCCTTCTCAGCTGGAGAGAAGCGGGGGGGGGGGGGGGGGTCCAGGAGCGTGGATGAGAAGTATCCAGAGAAGAGAGGTTTTTTTGTTGTTTTTTTTAAGCAGCTTGGCAAAGCTGCTCCTAGTTTCATCTGATACTCAAATCAAGTACTCTGCCTGTGTTTTAGGTATGGAAGAAGAGAAAGAGAAGCCTAAACAGGAATGAGATCTAAGTCTACATGAAAAAGCTGAATTGAGCCGCCACTGTAGACTCATTACCCCTGGGCGTTGGCGGTGCAGGGGAGGAAGCCTCAGAGGACTGGACCAAATCCACCTCCACCTCCTGGCCCCAGAGGGAGGGCACCTTTTATAGAGAAACACACTATACCAGAATAGAATCCAGTTGTTTCCAAAATAACTCCCCCTCATTGTTTGTTAAAGGACTCTTTCCAAATTCATGATTGATGATAACATCTTTTTTTTCCTCTTCTGGATTTTAAAACTAAAATGGGTCATTGGATTTTAATGTGTGCAATGTAATACCATAAAGAATAAAATTCTATTGTGTTTCTTGTTGAGCAATTTGTGAAAACCAAAGGGGCAGATATGGAACAAGGCATCCGTGCATTTCCCCAGGTGGCTGGGATAAGGAATCTGGGCCACAGTGTGTAAGTCTGGAGGAAATGCAGCGGATGGTTCTTACTGCAATAATGTCACAGATGCCTCAAACAGGCAATATTAGTAAAAAGTACGTCGATTTAGTCAAATCCCTGAGTGTTTTTGGATCTAATGGTTTAACCTTGTGGAACTTTTCCTAAATGCAAACTGTAACTTTAATAAAGACCAAGCAACCCTTGGTCTGATATCTGCATGGCACACCTCACACCCTAACAACATTGGTGTCTCCTTTCTGACTTTGTTTCTATTACCTGTTGAAAATGGGTTTACTGAACCTGGTTCTTATAGTTTGATGATTGTAAAAATGTGTATCTTTTTGATAAATCCAAAAAGAATCATTTTTTGGAAAAAAAACTAATTTACAAAGTGTTTGATCATAAATAGTTTTAAATAATACTAATGCAGAATATGTAGTAAAAACACATAAAATCTTAGAGAAATATAATGAAGAAACAATATAAAAGCAGAAATTATGTAAGGTAGGAGGAAAATAGCAGTAGAGTTGATAAATTGTTATTATAGTATCTCATCTATACAAATAGCATTAAAACATGCAAGTTACTAATATGTTAACTGAAAAGAGAAAGACAAATATAAGCACAGATGTGAAGCAAATTTCTAACTATAAAAATATATTTTATAGCTCTTATAAATTCTTAGGACTCAGTGAAATGTGCAGTTTTTAAGGAAAATAAATTCAGTAAGAGTTAGAAAGCTGTAATGGACTGACAGTCACAGAAGATATTTTTTAGTGTTCAATTAACTATCCCCAAAAGAGGAGTTGGATCTGAAGTGTTTTATGAGCAAGTTCTTGAAAACTTTCAAATAACAAATCTCATGTTATTTAAATCATTCCAAAATTACAGACTGATAAAACACTTCCCAAATTATTCTTCAAAGTTAATATAACCCTAAAAAAGTAAAGCCAACACAGCAAAGAAAAAAAATCACGTGCTTTAACTAAAATGCTGGCAACATCAATCCAACAGTACACAAATAACTTTTCAAAACTATAAATAAGATTTATTCTAAAAATTCAAGGATGGCTTAATACTAGGATTTTTTACTAAAAACCGTGTCTCAGTAATGCACAAAATAAAAAATCGTGATTTTCTCCACAGCTGCTCTAAAGCACTTAAGAAATTTAAACATTTATTTCTAATAATACCATTAGTAATTCAAAAATATTTCATATCACGAGAAGAAACTGCCATCTCAAAAACCAAAGGCATTTCATTTTCAGGTCAGAAATAGATGTCTATGACACTATTATTGTTCTGAGGTGTTTGGAAATGTTAGATCTAGCATCAAATAAGTTATATTTTGACCTGGACAGAAAAAGTTTTATGTTTTAAAAAAAGTTTTATGTAACTATGTAACTATAGAATTGATGTTATTAATGGAAAAAAAATGTGGTTAACAAATAACAGGAAAGGAGCAAAACCACCATTTAAAAGGAAACCATTTTTCCAGATGACTCTCAGAAGTGGAAACCTCAAGGAGTGGAATATTTGTAAGGAGTTTCTGGGACAATTCCTCAGGGATCCAGTGACTACCCATCTCTGCCAGCAAATAACACTTTCTTACTTTGACCACCAAGCTGATACCTAAAGAAGCCGACGCCTGCGGGCTGTAGATAGAAAGCGGATTGAATTAATAGAATAGCAGCTTGAATGTGTGCCTTACTGCTGTTTGAAATACAATTATGTCATCAGATTCGGGGTTTGGATTGGTTTTCTCGTGGTGGGTCATTTTTGCTTTGGGAACCCTGGCCCGGGAACCGTGGCCATCCTTCCTGCCCTACGCACGCCCAGGGCGGTGTCCCCAGGTGTGTGTGATGCACTAAGACACCCGTCGACCAGGAGCTGCTGCTCCTGCTGCTGCCGCCACTGACCCCTCACAGAAAGTCAGCTTGCCCTGGAGCACGATGCGCCAGGTGACTCTGCCTACTGCTCTAGGAGCACTAAGGGGTGAGGAAAAAATCGTCAGCAGTTTCTCCTTTGGGCTGGGAACCTCCCCGCTTTCCCCTATCAGTTCTCAGGAGGAAGCTGCGTTTTACCCTCTTCTCTGTGCACAAGTGTAAAGACCAACCCTACACCCACAGTCTCAGGGGAGAATGTGCTTCTAGCCCAACTTCTGGAACAAGAAAATCAACAAATAACTAACGCAAATTAATAGAAAGACACTTAACAGGAAATGGTACTAAAGATGCAGAACAATGAAAAGCTTCTCATACTATCCTTCAGACTTAACATATTTCCCAAAATAAAACTAGAACACAAAATTTCACATATCACAGAGGAAAATACTAGCAACATAAGCCTAATACTATAAAATAATAATTGCCATTGATCTAATCATGGTTTTTCTCTTCAGGGTCTTTTTAGAAGGCAAATTAATGAAAAGATATACCAAATTCTGGAAAAGAAGACTTTATTCTGAAGATCTCATTTCTTCCTTCAAATAATTTATAAGTGCTATATAACTCCATTTCAAAGTTGCCAAAGTTGTTTTTTTTAATTTAACAGAAAAATAAGCAAGTAAAAAACAACTGAAAAAATCTTGAAGAAGACAAATAATTAAAAGTATATTGTGCTGTTAAAACAAATAAAAATGCAACAATTAAAATAGAATGGTATGACTCAAAAATAGAAAAATCAACAAAATAGAAAGCAAACCCAGAAGCAGGTCTGTGTGTTGGGGGCGGGGGAGGGAGACACCAAAGTAGGTTCACAGCTGTTCCTATGGAAAATAATACAATAATTAATAAATAATAATTCAGGAATACACACTGTGTTTCACATACAACTGTAAAACTACTTTTGCCTGCCCCTGGGTGTGTGTGTGTGTGTGTGTGTCTAAATTTAGTAAACAATAAAGATGGCATTTCAGATTAGTAAGGGCATAATATGTGATTAAATAGTGCTGCAACAAATGAACAGTGACTCGGTAAAATAAAACCAGATTGCTCCCTTAAACCACATACTCACACCCACACACACCATACATACACTTTCAGATATATTAAATAATGAAATGTTCCCAAAAGGAATAAAATAAATGTAATAAAATATAGATGAAGAGCTTATCCTATAATAAGGAATTGGAAAAAGCATGTAGCATTTATGTACAACATATATGTTAGGAAACAATATTATATAAAATATAATGAGGAAAGTAAGTGTCACACGTACACGTGTGTGTGTGTAGGTGTTAGGAACTTGAATATACAGGTCTTGCAACTGACGTAGTGTGGAGTAATTGAGACAAAATCATCTCAGATATGTTCAAGACAACGTTAGCACCATTTCTGTATTTAAGAAACCTGGAGAACTAGGCTGGGATGGAGTTTGATGATGAACTGTACTTTGGATTTTTCTGTATGTAGGACAAGGGCTGTTTCAGTGAAATTTCCGACATTGGTATATTGTAAAAAAGAAGAGGTAACAACTGCAGAATACCACTTCAAAAACAGAACTTATACCTATAAAACAGAAGCTATAAGGGTAATATGAATCAAATGTGAAAAATCTTGGTAAAAATTCTGGGTTAGCCTTAGATGGGAACACCTCCCCCAGTCACAGGAAAGGAGAAAGAAGTATCCTTGGAAGTGAGTTTGCAAGACAAAAAAGAGTTCATGGACTTCTCTTTGATGGCTGAAATTTACTCCCCAAAGAATTGCCTGACGAGAGTGAGAGAACTGACTAGGAGCTGGAGTTTGTAATATACCCTGAGGGCAGCACGGACTAAGAAAACACAGAAGGCTTTCTGGGTGGCACCGATGGCCCAGAAAGGCTGGAGATCAGGAATTTACCTTGGTGATAACAAGGAGCTTTTACAGATTTTCTCCAAGAAACCACAACAGGCATAGTAAGAAGCTGAAAGTTTGGTTTAGAAGAGAAGGTCCTACAAAAGGACAAGCCAGTGAGCATGAAGGGTGGTTGGAAGGATGCACACGGGGTCTGGAACTGAGGAAGAAAGAACGAGGATCAATGTTGGGGCACAACAAAATGATCCAGAAATTGACAGTCTCAGTAAGTCTCAAAAATAGATATAGCAAGGAAATGAGGGTAATAGACAGGAAGTCATGATCAGAAATGAACTGTGAGGGTTTAACATTTCAGGGATATAGGAGGTCATACCATTTCTGGCTTTCTTTAGTTAATAATGGTTTGTTACTAGTGCCCCATCCCAAAGATGCCCATGTTTGTCACCAGAGCCTTTGACTATTACCTTTCATAGCAAAAGAGACTTGAGGTGTGATTAAGGATTTTGAAATGTGGAGTTTACACTAGATTTTCCAGGGCACACAAGATAATTACAAGCACCTTTCAAAGAGGGAGGCAGGAAGGTCACAATTAAAGAAAAAAAATGTAACAATGGTAGCAGAGGTTGGAGTGATACAAGGAAGGGACCACAAGCCAAAGAATGTGGGTAGATGCTTGAAGCTCAAAAAAGACAAGGAAATGGATTCTCACCTGGAGCCTCAGAAGTAATTCTACCTTATTGACACCATGATTTAGGACTCCTCACTTACTGAGCTGTTAGTAATAATTTTGAGTTTAAAGCTACTAAGCTTGTGGTAATATAAAAAACTGAAACATATGTTAAAATCAAACATTTTTTACATATTTATGTGGGGTATTCTTGTGCTATGCTAAAAAGAGAGAGAGAGAGAGAGAGAGAAACAGCCACATGGTAATATCTAAAATTCATATTTGTGAATTTCTAATAATTGAGTACCCAACACTGTTGTCCCTCATTAAGCCAAACCAATTATCCAATGTTGACAAGCTGATCCAAGTTATTCAGACTCGTCTGATGTGTTGAAATGGAAGTGCTGATGATCACTGAAGAAGTCCCCATGGAAACATTCAAAACATTTGGATGCTTTCATGCCTACTCATCAACTAAGCAATAAAAATTTTTGAGGCAGATGACCCTAATTTCAAGTATAATTCAAAGGATTTTGGAGTAATGACAAACCTTTTTGCCTATTATAAAGAGGTTTGCCAGGAAGAGAAATAGGCATCTTATGGACAAGCTTTATTGAAAATATATTGTTAAAGCCTCAGTCAAGACAATCCATGCAGTAAAAGTCTCTCAAGGGAATTTTGCAAGTGTGTAAAAGCAAACACAACGTAAAAGCTTTTTAAAATTTAATGTCTGGTTTTACATATATGCGCTAGCATATTAATAAGATTGACTAGCTCTGGCTGGTGTGGCTCAGTGAATCGAGTGCCCACCTGTGAACCAAAGGGTCGCTAGTTCGATTCCCAGTCAGGGCACATGCCTG